AGTTGCCACTGGTGCCATAACCCATGCACAGTGGATGCCCTTTACTTCTCCTCCTTTCCCGTATGGTAAACCTTTACCAGAGGAAGGTGAAATATGAAGTTCTTAATATTACACCTGGTGCTATTGGCATAGAACAAACAAACAGGAAAATCAGGGAACTGAACCAGGATTACTACAGATGGATCATGGATCATTTTCCATCCATGTTTAATACAGCTCTGACATTGTCTCTGCTCTTCCAAGTCATACATTTCTAGTCAAAACTGTAAACATGTTTCTTTCCAAAGGATGCTTATTTGGGAACCTTTCCACTGGCAACAAGGCTTTAATTTAGAGTTAGGGATGGAGCTTTTCAAGCAACATTACTCTTTCTGCTTATAAGCATTTATTCAGATCTTCTACATTGTATACCTCTTCCTTTACTGATTATGTTCATACTACAGTCTACAAAGTGTGATAAAATATCTTTTAGAAATTTTTCAGGAAAACGGTCAGCATATACTTCAAAGAATAAACAAACAAGGAGTGCAATGCGTTGTCTGATTTTCCACCTTGTAATGGCAAATATCTTGGATTTCTAAACTTTAAATTCTATCTCTCGGGAGGTTGAAATATATAACTCTGAGAGCTTCAGAAATAAACAAAACCTGGTTTCTGATGTATCTGTGCTTTGGAGACTACAAAAAAGATCTACATGAGATTTTTTCCATTGAAGAGACCATCAGCTTAGGGTTGATGTTGATGTGTTGCAAAATTAAACACTTCTTTTTAGACCAGAGTCTTATACCAGTATTTTCCTACAAGTTAATTAACTTCTATACTTTGATGCTTTGTGAAATTTCTTTGCAATGAACAGAAACACCACATATGCACTTTCACATGCACTCACCCATATTTAATACAAATGCTAAAGTTTTGTATCTCCAAGAACTAATTCCTAGAAACACAGAGGCTTACAGCTTCTCCCTCTGCAGATGAAAATGCAGAAGTATAAAAAGTGTTTGCTAAACAATCTCAAATATTTTTCAGAACAACAATTTAATTATTTTTCCATTCCTCAACAATCTTCAAATTATATTTTAAAAAGCTACATAAGCATTGTTTATAGACATAGTTTCTCTCCTTCAACAAAATTTAGCCATTTAAATCCCATACAGTCGATTCATCTTTTTAGATCAGATAAACTTGCAATGAACTTGTGATTCTTCAGGGTCTGTAACAGTGGGCTGTTTTCAGTTTAAACAGTTGTGTTGTTACGATTTCTTTTTACTTGTGACTTAAGGGTATCCATTTGCTTCACAATTAAGAGCATAGCAGCTACAAACGTTCATCTAACCAGATTGTTAATTGCAATGTTTGCTTTATACTTCCTTGTATAAATAGAAAATATTCCTCCTGAAACTGAATGGTTCAAAGGTTCAGGTTATCTTCCTGACATTTCTCAGGTTACTCACTTTTTACTTTTCCTTCTACTCAGTGTCTGGAGATATTCCTGATAAAAGCTTGCATACCCCATGTTATCTCTTCTAGTCTCTTCTTTGATGAAAGCTTTTGTCTTTGTGGAAACCAGTGCTGAATGTTTTCTTCAGAGGCAGCCAGCAAAAACTGAGCTAGTTTTAGAGCAAAATCATCAGTAACATAGAAAGTAATCTTATTTTTAAAATAAACTGAAATAGAGTAAAAATGTTATAAAATACACCTTACTATTATTATTTGCAATTCTTAAAATCACTGCTTGGTTTTATCTATTAGTTCCTATGTATGTGTCTGAGATTCACCACTGGTAAGTTACTTTTGCTTTCACCTCTCCTAATATTTTTATCCAGTTCATCTGAATCCTCAAATTCCCTTAAGATTGTCTTTAGATAAAATTAGAACCATAACTGAAATGAGAGCATTCCTCTGTAAATATACAATAGAATGTCAGCACTTCTGTCATCTGATTTCTGACTGGAATTTAATATATGAGCTGTGAATAGTTTGTGACCTGTCCATAATGTGGGATTCATCTTAATGCAGATGCAACGGAGCCAATTCCTCATTATAGTCAGAAGAGATGAATGAGAACTTTCAGGGCTCACTTCATCTCACACCAAAGTATACATACAGGGTGATTGTACTGCAAGATGCCTTTATGCATTTTTCTCCACGTAAAATGTTGGAGAAATTTATTATTTTTCTCCATTATATTTTGTGAGGAAACTTAGGCTGATTAGCTCAGATGCCTATGTCTATAACAACCAAACTCTCAAGCTGAGAGACCGCTTATTGTCTCTGAAACGTGTCTCAATTTTTACTCATGTTTCATCTTGATCATGTTGTTTTCATAAGAAGGTTGTTGAAAAGTGGCCAGTAAAAGGCCAGAACTTTGGGCTGCACTCTAGCCTCTTGGCAAGTAGTCTGGACATGCTGCCAAACTCATTAGTTCCCATGAAATTGGACTAGGGTGAAGAGGTCTTTAGAAATCCATTTCCTATGACGCAATCTATGACCCTGATGTCTCAATCAAGGGTAAAGCTAATTTATTGAATATACGAGAGAGAACCTCCAGTTCAGGTATTCTTTTACTGATCACCTGCTTGATCTTGTTTTAGCCATAAAGCAAAAATGATTCTCCACTGATACTGCGTAGGATTGTCAGTGAAGTCAATGAAGATAAAGCCTTATCAACAGCTGCAATTGTTCATGAACAAGCATATTTACAAAGATTGTTTTTTGATTAAACACTTGTTTTCTGTCTCACATTCACATACTGAAACACCTGTCACACATTCTGTTTAAAGTTTAATATGACACCTGGTTTACCTTCTCCTTGGGCTGATAATGCTCAGGAGCTGATGTGTCCCCAAAAGCTTCATCAGCTTGGAAAGAATTTCTGGAAATATGCAAAACTACTCAGCTAGTCTATCCATTTGTAGATTGTCGTTAACCAGCTCTGGCATATGAGCTAAACATAGCAGCATTCAATAATGTACTGTTCACAAAGAAAATGGGAACACTGAGGATGATGCTGCATGTCAGCACATATGAGAAGGCAAAAGTCACTTTGCAATGTGAAGACTATGAGCAGCAAGGCAGTTCTGTTAACAGCATCCTAACACTCAGGATCAACATATTTGCCAAAGGTGGACTTGGTAGATGGCCACACATCACAGGAAGCAATACTTTGCATGGGAACAGACTTCGGAGTGCTGTTAAAAGGGTTGTGAGTCTCACTCCTCAAACCTAGGCTCACTTTACTGAAAAACTGAAGAGATTATGAGTCTATGAAGTCCAACAATAGTGCTTATACCAAGTTATATGATACTAAGATGATGTTCAGGAATAACAGGGTTTAGATACGAGTCTATTTTTACTTTCTTACTTCCAAATTAATACAAACATGACTTCTCCACTCCTCCTTCAAAATAATTAGAGAAGCCAAGCAGTCTGTACAACAAGAAAGACAGTGAAAATTTATGGAAGAACAAAAGATTAACAATTATTAAAATTTATCATTATATTCCATTTCAATTATGTAGAGTTAAACAATGAGCAAAACAATCTGAAGACTTTGAACTATGGAAAATCCTGAGGAAAAAATACGAGAAATTGTAGTAGACATCTTTTAAAAATTCAGCTGGTCGCATTAACTACAAACAGTGATCACAAAGCACGACTGGTTAAAAGACCCCAACCCTAAAGCACACTAAACAAGTCTAAAGTTTTATCCATTTCATTATAAGTTATCAGTAACTTGGTCAAAACCAGCACTTTTTAAAACCTTGCTGCATACCTACGCACTTTATAAAATGTGAAAAGGTTTTTTATAGTAGCAATTCTTTGAAACATTGTTTCTCTGCATTTTAAGAGTTGAAGTTATAGTTTCTCTGATCCTTATTAATGCTGTGAATTACGTGAATTCAGGACTGTATAGTTTTGACAATTAGTTAATTTTAACTAGTTGAAAGAAAAGTGAACATTCATGAAAGGTAAAAAATGAACAATTAGTTATGGAAATCTGCTACTGATTATGACAAATTGCTACTAGAATACCCATTCTAGTTCTTTTACTACTCTTAATTACCGTGATTAAGATTTCTGCACATCAATTAGAATTGTTTTGGTATGACAAATTCCAATCCCTTTGTGTCTCTCAAAGTAGGTAAGCACACATGTTCTTAAGTGTTTTTTTTTCTATATCTAGTATATGTAAATAAGAAAAAAAATTTCTAAGAGTATATAAAATTAAAAAGGGGCATAATTCTATAAAGTCAAAATTTACATAAAACCAACCTAGGCTTTTTTTTTCTTTTAGAGTATTAATTATCTCAGACAGAAACAGGAAAATTGAAACATTCATGACATATGTCAGCAGCATAATTAAAATACTTAAGGATGAACAAGATTTCTATCATCATACCTAGCATGACTAAGTAAAAAAAATTATTAAAGAGAAATATATTCTAAGATAGATTTAAACCTAGGACTTGAGAAATAACCTATCTTAACCTGAAAAAAATACCCTGGATTGTTTCTCATTGAATACCTCAAATACCAGCTAACACTGTTCTCATACTTACTTTAATTGCCCTGATAGCATTTGCTTTTGTAGCCCCTGTAAATTCTTAGTATTTCTCAGGAATGGTGTTGGAGATGAGGTATAGAATACCATCGCACTGAAACTTTCACTCTCTTGAGAGTTGCAGCAAACTGTAAGCAAACAGTCCTAAATTACAATGGGAAACTCACAAGCCCTGGGAATGAATACAGCCTGAAACTTTTTTGTGTGTCACTTGGGATCATATAATTTTTTCCTCCTACATTACTTCTGACTAACACTCAGGTAGGCTTTAATTTATGGCCTAGCAGTGTGCCTGAAAGAGCTATTTGGCCCTCAGTAAGGGAGAGGATATTCCAGCTTTAATAGAGTACATAAAATTCTACTTTGTGTCCTCTTGAGTCTTCCATGGAAGCTGTGGCTCACTGAGGTGGACCATAACTGTTAGGAGTGTACTTACTGCATTGAAGTTGGGGAAGAGATTGACTGCTGCAGCAGTGTCCAGAGGAAATGGAAGAAACGGTTTAATATCCAGCGATGGCTGCAAAGGTGGTGCAGGAGGACGCACTAGGGCTGGAAGAGCAGGGCTCTGGCATGTGCCACCTGCATGTACAAAGAGACAGAAGGCATTCAGTAAGTACTGTGACTGGGGGGAGGGGAGCCAGTTCAAAAAAAACATCGAAAAGCCAATATTGGATCAAACAAATACATTTTTATTAGTCCACAAATTACTGCATTACTGAAAAAAGCATAGCTGACTCAGTGACTATTGGTTACAATTCTTTGTCAGTAATTGCTTCAGGTGTCAGTCTATCATTTTAAAAATTAGTTCACAGATCAGTTATTTCCATGGATTGTCTAGAACAATAGTCCAGCATACATCTGACGTCCCTTTAGAGCTTCAGCTAGTCTCATTCTCCTATATATAACTTCAGTGCTTCATCCCTACTCTGTTGTTCAACCCTATAAAGGCAGACTACTCCAAAAGAAAAACAACAACTTCAGCTCAGCAAAAGTCATGTCATTTGCAGACTTTTGATTTTTTAATTAAATGCTCGCTCATGAAGCCAACAGCTTCAGTTTCAACATAAACCTCACAAACATGACATACCTTGTCACCTCAACAGTTGATCGATACAAATCTAAAAATCCAGACAATTTCAACAGCCACCAAAATTCTGTTTGTGGGAAGGTACCGATGAACACTTTCTGCTCTTTGCAAGGGGTGGAGCTCATTCAGACTCTGTGCAGCAGAAAGCTCCTCCCAGCTAACCACCAGCTCTGTGGGAACCTAATGCAAATGAAGAAATCCCCTTGCATACTAATAAGGTGCTACCTGCTTGCAGTGGACCCTATTTTGCTTATTTGTTTGCCCCTTGCCACAAGTTGGAAGGATCCAAGCTCATTCTCTCCTTTCAATGTCTCCTATGTTTTGGTGGCATTCCAAAACATCAATTCCCTGTTAATTAAAGACTATTTGGATCCTAGGAAACTGTTAAAATATGCCAGTGTTCTTCTAATCTGAGAGGCAGGCAACAGACTGTAAAAACTTTCTGGTAAGAGTCCAAGAAACAGTAAAAAAAAATGTAAAGGGGAATTTTACCCCACTCCCTGAACAGAGACACAGTCAGACAGATCAAGAGAAGGGAGAGATCCAAAATCTGTTTCTTTTTTTCCTCTCATACACACAGACACTTCATTAGACAAGTTGCATACATTCTTTAAGAGCCCAAATACAAAGTAGTCAAAATGATATATGGGATCTCTCTGTATTTGGCCAGAAAATCTGCTAACAAGGTTTGTCATTTTATGCATCTAATTGGTGGCTAACAACAGAGGACTTAATTAACCAGTGCAAAAGATCATTCAAAGTTGTGCTTCTAGGTATAAAATCAGCTGGAGCCAAATTCTGAAAGACTGTATTTTTCGCCAACTTTCAATGCCTTTGTGAAGCATTTCACTAAGAATCACTGGAAGAAAAACCTTACCCACTAGTAAATTAAAGGTATTGGATTAGGGTTCACTCGAGTCTCGTGATAGGTTTTTCCCATAGAGTAACTGCCACTTTTGGAGTAATTTCTACATTTACCTGAATGCAAGTGTATAAGAAATTCTTTTAATGCAGCAGTTGAGAATATAGGCAACAGAAAAACAGAGGGCAAGCAGCTCTGATTTCCACAGCTCACTAGCATAGAATCGTCAAGGTATTTCATGGTTGCCATTGGTTTCACAATTGCTACATTCCCATGGCATTATTACAAAAACACAGTAAAAATAAATTTAACAGATCAGAATGGTGATGAGGTAATGTTGAACATGCCAGTCACACCCTTCCTGAATAGAAAAGACCCACAAAGGTATTTTTTTTTACACGCTGGAAATACTTATTTTTTCTCATGTAAAGCTTTTACAGATCATGCAGTGAAGAAGTCACTCCTATCAAAAAAAAGAATAAGAAGTGCCCAGATTGCACCTGAGATTGCACAGAATCACATAGAAATTTCAAGGTGAGCATTTTCCTGGCAATAGCAAAGAATTTGAAGTTGATTAAACACTTTATAACTCACAAATGCAAACCGAAACTGAACTGAGGAATATCAGCTGTGCTTGGGGATACAGCTCACTGGGTGTATTATCTCAGTGCTATGGAGGAGGGCCTCATAGGTTCAGATTACGTAGAGCAACAGCAGTGGTATCCCATACTTTTCTAGGATACCAAGCCATGAAGGATGAAATATTTCTACTCTGTGATCCTTCCCTCTGGCATGACTCGGCACTCACGCACCTGCTGCTGCCAGCCAGTGCAGCGCAAAGTCATCTGGGGACGAGAACACGCTTTAAATGGAAAAATTCAGCCAGCTCTGCAGGACCTTGGCTGGGACTCAGAGCCTCTGGAACACAGTTTAAAATCTACCACAGTCCTGGCTACAGTGGTACAGAAAATTAGTATGTTCAGGAGCACAGCTGCTCTCTGTTTTTTCAATAGTGTCAGACATGTCCCTTAATGATGGAGCATGTGAGAGGCATCATGAAATTTGAGGTTTTGCTTGCAAGAAATTCTCTAATGTTTATGGCTGCAAAAATTAGCTTTTATTTCCATTTAGCATGCACAGAGTTGTAGTCTAGAATCCACAGCAGAAAAGCTGAAGCAATGGAAACCATTTTTGTGACTCAGCTTAACTGATGAACCTTTGGACAACCTTTGAGAATACCAGTGTTAACTATTTCCAACCTAATCCATTAGCAGAGTGATGGAGAGGGGTAGAAGCCCACTGGGAAGAGTTCTTGAAGAGCATATACAGATAAATTCCAAGTGTTACTGAACATTGGATCTCAGCGAGGAACCATAACGATTACTTAAGACTCTTTTGGTGTTCTGTATGATAAGCTTCTACACAAAGACCTCTATAGATTTCCCTATGCACAAGGAACACTACTGATCAACAAAATGAAGACAAAGGTTCAATGTCAGCCTTTTCACAAACTTCCTTCCAGAAAGGTTTGGGTAACATTGACCAACAAAATTAGGATAACATCCCACAACACTGATGAGTTTTTTCCACAGCCTGTGCTTGATGCTCTGTGTTATTATTACCTGAAGTTCACATAGACAACCTTGTCAAAAACTAGGTGCATGCATGGCCTGACTCAAGATAGTCCCCCCCAAAATGTAATTACATTTATAAGTAGGGTGCTACAATTACTTAAAATGGGAGGTTAGTAATGTATTTTGTAATTCCAGTGTTACAAGTTACTGATACCATAGTCTAAACACTAAACTCTAAAGAGAAAAGGGCATCAGATTTTAAATGCGAGGTGAATGTTCAGACATTTGAGAAGTTTATGTTAATAATTTTACCTTAATTTTCTTTGTAGGAAGCACAAGCATAACACAACTTAGAAGATAATTAGCTCAGCATTTTGACCAAATTTGAAGCAATCATTCATTTCTTCAATTTTCAGGCAATTTAAAACACGGGCAAGATAATCTCTTGGACAAAGGCAGTGGAAATACATCCAGGGTGTGAGCATACAAGTTTGAAGAAAAGCTCACCACAAATCTTTGCAACTTCCTAAATCACATTGAGACAGTTTTTGAGAACTTCCCCAGCATCAACCAAATTGTGTATTTTTACATATGGATGCAGTTCTGTGTCTCCAGCTGGGACTAGACATTTTTCCCTACCCTGGGTATTCTGGGTTGCAATACAGTGTTATGTTCTAGGCACAGACAGCCAACATGGTACAAAGCCATGTGTCCAGCATGAGGTTCATGCTCTTGGTGGCAGACCTCAGTCAAGTGGTTCTCCTTCTGAAACCACTGGTGATATGAACTTCACCACCACAACACCTTTCTTGCTAAACCAAGGGAATATGACAAAAACAGATGAACAGATGATTCCTGCAAGTTCCACCTCAAACTGTGCATTTCACAAGAAATTGCCATATTTTATTTGTTTTGAGTCAGAATGTGTATGAATAGTTACGTCCATCCTGTCCCTCCCCCCCATTGTGACTTTAAAAACCATGTTTTACTATGGAATTGAAAATAGATTTTAAAATCTAAAAGAAACCATGTATCTTAAAAATGCTAAAGTTTTGATCTCAGAGATTTTTTTTGAGGTCACAGTTCTTTACAAAAATTTAACACCTTCTGGCAGAAATTTTGCTTTCAGTGAAATAGCATTTACTGATACAAAACCTTCCCATGTAAATTTTTGTGCCCAGTTCACCTGAAATATTCCTTGGATCAGTTTTAGGTAACGAGTATAAACAGCTGTAAGTACTGACCCTGAAATCTGGATTAAGGGAACCACAAAAACTGAGTATGCACAAAGGAAACAAAAGAAAATGGTGTTAGAGTAAACAGACATGATAGAGCAGGGAGGTTTTTACATACAGGAAAATAAATAGCAAGTTTCCTTAATTTTTCTCAAGGAGATCAAGATCCCTGTTCCTCAAGTTCCCTAATAAACAGCTCAACAATTTGGCTACTGCATATTGCCATATTTTGTAACTTGGCTATAGAGAAAGATATGTTACATCTTTTCCTGCATAGTTTTATCTCATGCACACTGTCATTCTCAATCCTTTTAAACTCAACTGCAGGTCTAGTTTCCAGAAAAGGAATCACAAGATCTATTATCAAATAGTCTCTCTTAAGGAAGAAGCTAGCCCAGATTTTGCAGACACAAAAATGTAGATAATTTTTTGCAACGCATTTGGAACTTAGAGGTATGTAAACTGGGCAGGAACTCCTAAACTAATACCCCATTAATCTAAATCTTTTGCAGTTCTTCTATCACTATTACCACCATAAACACTGAGTGAAAAAGCAAATCTCTGCAAAATTCCATTTTCATTCCTCGTTACTTTGCAATTTTTTCCTTCTGGCCATGTGTACAGCCATTTTGAGTACTGCAAAGACACTAAACTACAATTTCCCTTCCTTCCTGGTGTCTGAGTTGGTTTGCAGGATCATAATATGGTTTCTCTAAGATATGGATATTTCCATGTTTTCCACCCCATCCCACACCTCTCTCAATATTTCCATGATAACTTATTTGAGTTCAAAACAATACTCACATTTTACCTCGGCAGAA